TTTTTGTCATATCTGTAAAATGTATACTGATTGTCATATGATGAGACTATATGCCCGACGCTACGAATCCCGGAGTGGTCGCTTTGTACAGTCCATCGTGATAAAATCATTGGAAGGATTGCGGGAAATTACATTTCGATCCGTTAAATCGCAATATTGCGCAAGGGGCGTCATGAGAAACTTGTAGAGAAAAAAAAACTGACCCGATTTGGTGTATATTATATCCTCCTTAAACGTCGTGGAACGACGTTATGGATTATTGAAAAAATATTTTCTGGAAGAAACGAGACTAAGTAAATGAGTCGACTGTACCGTAGACGCCACCGGCAGCCACGAGCGGTCGCTTGTGGTACACGTACGATCAAAACGCTTCCGCGAACGTATTGGCGGAATGTCGAAATAGAGTCGTTCGATCGCAGAATTACGGGTGGGGCGTCATGAGAAACTTGTAGTTTAGAAAAAACTAACACGATTTGGTGTATATAGTATTCGTTTTCAGTGTACCGTTTACGAGATATCTGTTTTCGACGTTTCAGCAACGGTCCGCATATCGACTCACTATTTGGTGTGACTGTACCAACGGACGCTACACAGGAGTCCGCAGCCGGCATAGGTTCAGTTAGCAGCAGAACGCACAGCGAGAAGTACGACCATGGCTGATATCTCGAACGAAGAACTTCGCAAGGAGATCACCGGTAAGTGGAAATATCCTTCGATTTACCGGACTCTGGCCTTCGATTATTAGAAAACTAAAGCAGTTATTGCATGTGCCGTAAATTCGTGGTACATTCGCGAGTAGGAATACGTAGGAAATCAGGCTCTTTGCTCTTGCGATGCTACGACTTTAGCGCGCACGTATGCGACGAAGTGGCGTGCCCCACGCCGGCCATTACAACCGTGATACGATACTCGTATTTCCACCTACGTACAGGTTCATCGGGACATTGTATTGCGAAACGGTTTCGTGTAATCTGTCCCTAATTTTTAAAGAAAATTATTCGACGCCTACGAAAATTGTCGATTTTCTTTCGGTTTTCGGAGAACCGATAGCTTTCCTTGTCCTTTCCTATAGTGTACGTTGCATGACGCGACTGGCTGTGGTGGCGCGCGCCAGAAGCCATCCCATGCTTCGTATCTCGTCTCTTTCTCTTCTGTTCTACGACATTTGCGCCGTGAAAACCAATCTTAGGATGGACCGTGGCCTCATTTTCTCCGATATTTCCACGGATTTCCGTTTTATTTTTCTATTTCACCGTTCCAAATATAGCTTCGTCCCTCCGATTTAACGCGTTCGTTACACTCGAGACCACAGCAAACTTCATTACTGCAAATGTTCGTTGGCACGCGTATTTTCCCGCCGTCATGTAGGCCCTTCGTCACTGCGATACAGAATGTGGATTCTCGTGGGTTTTCTCGTCGATTCCATTGTTCTCTGCGAATCATCCGACGAATTAAAAACAATCTCGAAAATCCAAATCCGTTGGTGTTTGGCCATTTTACGCCACGGACTTTAATCAATTTTCTGACTTTTGATGAGTGGATGCATCACGATCGATCGGCCGATGTGGAGTACGCAATTTCATAAGCACGATTTACGCGTTAAATTCTCCTTGGAAACCTTACTTTCAGAAATTCTTTTTCTGCTCCATGCCCGAATAATCAGTAACCGGCTTCGAATAACGGCAGCCATTTGTGTCCAGTATTTACTAGCCGCCTAACGCGGGAAACCACATTACCCTAGATTTTTCCTGTGTGGTTATATCTCCACTTTTTATTTGTCGTATTATAATTAGCGAATTGATTGATTATCACTGAAATATTTTCCTTGAACGTGTATTTCATGTTTCGATATTCTTAAAAACACATGCATGGTTTGGTTTTACAATAATCAACAGTAGAATACATAAAAGTAACTCAATGTTATTTATAAACAAGTTCAACTTTACATTTTACAGCCATCCTTAAGGATGCCGACCTCACTGCAATGTCTGCGAAAAAGGTCAGGCTACAGATTGAGGGAAAACTGGACATAGATCTTACAGAAAGGTAATAATTGTTGTAAATTATTTAATTTTTAACATAGAAATGTGGACATGGCATGGATGCAGTAGCAGGCACTCGTGCAATTTTCTGATAATTCAGGAGTGAGTTTGACTGTGTCCTAGATAAAAAGAAGGATCTCTGCGTGGAACTGAATTTAATGGTTACCACCTCGTTCCTCCTTCGACATTTTCTTTGTTATTCAGTTTTTCCTATGATTATTAAGACTGTTTTAATTGAAATTTATTAAATGTTTATAGGAAGAAGGAAGTAGATAGTCTAGTCATGGAGTGTTTAAAAGAAAAGCATGATGGAGCAAAGAAAAAGAAGAAGACTGCCAGTGAAGAATCTGAAGATGGAGAGGAGGAGGAGGAAGGATCAGAAGAAGAAGAAGAGGAGGAAGAGAAGAAGCCAGCCAAAAGAAGTCCCGCGAAAAAACCCATAAGCAAGCGTAAAAAGGGATCATCTGACGACGAAGAAAGCGCTAGCGACGACGATGCAAGTGATGAGGAATACAGTCCAAAGAAACCAAAGGCTACACCTAAGAAAGGTATATATGAGGCGCATTTTTAGGTGTTGATCAGAGGATTGATTAAAATGAGATTACTGTTTTCACAACTGATTATTTTTGTAACAGGTAAGCCTGGCAAAAAAGGCAAGAAGAAGGGTAGCGACAGCGACAGTGATGAAGATTGGGGCAAAAATAAGAAAGCTCAAGGAGGTGGTGGTGGGAAGAAGGGTGGCGGTGCTGGTAAAGGTGGTTACACTCGTGCTATCACACTCTCTCCCGAGCTTGCTGCTGTCGTTGGTGCGGAGCAGATGGCTCGACACGAAGTCGTGAAGAAGATCTGGAGCATCATTAAAGAAAGAGACCTTTATGTAAGTATCAGTCTCTATTACAGGATGTGTTTGCATTCGATGTGTCATGTTTCATTTAACAATGAATAATGTTTTACAGGATCCTAAGAATAAGCAGTTCGCCATCTGCGACGATGAACTGTTGACAGTAATTGGAGTAAAACGTTTCAGAACTTTCGGTATGATGAAATACCTCAAAAATCACTTTGTAGATTAAATCATCCCTGAGCCACAATCTCCGACAGGTTATAAACTCTGTATAACATATTCCAGGATGCAAAGTGCATCTTTCCATCTTTCTCACACGAAACATACATAAATACATATACATACAAACACACACGACATACTGCGACTTAAGACTTTAGCCATGTTTACACCGTTCCGATGCACTCTTGTTGTCCATGGTAGTTGCTTCCTCTCGTGGAATGTTCGCGATGTAGCGTCTTAAGTTATGGGCATTATTAAAAGCACGGGCACCACACAACATTGCTGAAGGTAGCCATGGTATGATGCGTAATGCACATGATGACCCACGAGTACGAATTCGTGTAAATTCGAAGTAACGCCAGAACAATACGAAAGGGAAGAAGCGGTACCATGGACGGTTGAATGATTTCGCGCGCGCGCGTAATGTGGAAAACATTCAAATGGCCGATAGTCAGTAAGCTGGTTTTAAGTCTATATTCAGGATTAATGTTTTATCGTTTGTCCGGTGGTTCTCGTGAACCACTCATTCCCGCCAAGCATGAAAACACGGTGTGCTACTGCGGCAGTGAAATCGAAGCAACAAATATGCTCGGAATTATTTTTATGTTGATATCTTTGTTTTTATCATGTGACACTCTTTCGAAGAAATGATTGGAAGGCACTTACTCAGTTACGAATATTTCTAGAAGACTGCATTACATTTTGCGTTCTACTTTACCTAAATTTCGATTAAACCCTGAACTGCCGCCAGACGAATCACACAATGTTCTCATTCGTTTCGTTTTCACATGAATTCTAGGTATATTTCGGTAACGGATTTGTAACAGAGAGAAAAAAAGGGGCAAGTGATTTTGTCAACCAACGAGAGAGAATAAAATTAGAAAAAAAGTGCGGTAAAAATAAAGAGAAATACGATGCGAAAAAATCAATATTCTGTACCTCTTCTGTATAATAGCTACATTATACACTGAAATTATTACTAAGCGAAATTTAATTGTATTATCGTGTAATTACTAATTATTGTCGTAATTATAGGTTTCTTGGTGTAAAAAAATTGACCTAACTTTTAAGATGTAATGGTAAAGTGATGTATTCAGTGAAGGTACGATGTATGCATATTAAAAAAAAAAGTCACAGTATGTGCAGTAATTGCGCAACGTTGAAACTGTAGAGAATAAGGATAGGTTCACGGTGCGAGGTACGGAATTGATCCTGATCGCGGAAGCCACCCCCAAGCCTCGATGTGTATGGAAACAAAAAATAAAACATTCGTGTATTTTGAATTTAAATTAATACGAACGCTGGCCTAACTTGACGAAGAGAGCCACGAGGATGAAATCCATTACAAACATTCGATGATAAAATATGAGGATAATAAGAAAAGAAAAAGACTACGCGGAGTATGGGTAAAAACAAGACGCGTGTACACGGAATGACAAATTATAATAACATGTTTGTTTTTTTTTAAGGAAAGGATGTGCGGTTTGTGCCCTGATATTCCGTGAATGTATTTGAGAACATCATTAAAAGATATTGCTTTCATTTTTTTTAATATTGTCCTTTGTACATTTATTCCTCGCCGTATGATTCTGAAAACCGTTTCAATGAAATCTTCACAAATGCTCGAGTTCGTCTTCCAAGAAGGAAAGAATATGTTGATCGTCATCACGTCTGCCCCGTAAACCAAAGGTGTATGTCAGTAGTTTCTTCGTGTTCGTGTAGTTGTCTCTCCTAGTTTGCACTTCTTTGTTTCGAGGTGGAGCAGCTTGAACGTATACGCCGTATCGGAAGTTGGACTTATCCGTTTGCGTGCTGCGTGTGACGCATCGACTCACAGTTGCCTGAAGTAAAACAGGACTCAAGTATTTTACAGTGTATCATTTTCTATTATTTTCTCTTATACAATTACCAAGTTCAGTGCTCTTCTCCGTAAATCCCAAATATTCGAAGAATAATCCTTATCGATAGTAGGAGGAAGAATGTGGGTGTCCGTTTGAACGGTTTGCGTCTGGCACATCTTCAGTTGGGCTCCCTTGTCCGATACCCTTGTATCGATTGCAGTATTAAAATCAATTGCCACATGTCTCGCATCGGAATACTTACAGCTTCTCTGCTTTCAGCGCTTGAACGTCGTCGAACACTTGGAACAAGTACACGTACTCCGGATGATGCCGTATGAAGTCGAGCGCCCCGTAAATGTACCTATCAACGACGAAACTTAACAACAGCCCTCGCACAATTAGTTCTACCTGGTTCAAAGCTACCTGTCCGGATCCTCTCCGAACTGCCTGGCCGCCTTTCTCGAGCTGAACACATAATATTTTCCTTTCCACTTAGCGACTCCGTTATTCGGATTTCCCGGGATCAGCGCTCCCTGCACGAGGGCGAACGTCCACGCGCAAAATCCTAGAAACTATGACGGAGCGAATTAATTAACCTAGGGTGGATATCAGGTTCAGCCACGTACTCCGGCGTGGCTCTCAGCAAACATTGATTTCACCCCGTCGCGTGTTAATCTCACCTCGAGATTTATGTTCTCGAAGTCCTTGGTGGTGTCTGGGTAATAAAGGGCGCACTTGCCGCACTCGGCTGTGAACAGGGATCATGATGTCAGTCAGTGGAGCAGCACGCGCAACGTTTTTAGCCGGCGCGGTCTCGTCGTCGTAACACTGTTTTATTACTTATCAATTCGCCCATTGACTGTTCCAATCTCTCCGCATCCGTCGGGACGCTGCCCTTGGTTAGCATGTCGTTGAGCACCGCCTCGTTGAACACGTTGACCGTCTGCGGGCGAGCAATCAACGTTCATCTCTCGCTACCTATCGCGTGTTATTGCGTTCGGTAATTACCCTCGTATTCAGGTTCTGCAGTTCCCATAGAAAGTTGTTGATACTGCTCAATATAATCACCTCGTCCTGGAGACCCATCCATATGTCGGCTAGGTCGATGAATTGCGGCTGGAAAAGTCGGAGAATGCGAGATCTCGCGTGCGTGAAAACGGATTCCCTCGAGGGGAACGAAATATGAAACGCACGTATACTCACGTATACTTGGACGGTGGGGATGGCGGTCCTGTATCTTACGGTGTCGTGGATCTTGAACAGACGACCCTGAAGACGTTCCATGAGAGATTGTAGCTCCTTCTCGCAGCGTTCCACGTCGCTTAACACTTTCCTGCAATGAAAACAGCTAGGTTCTCGATGCCGTTGTCAAAACCCTGTCAGACTCGGCGCAAACTGAACAACCTGACGTAGATTTCTTGCTGCCGGCAGGCAGCCAGCATCCCGATCAGCCAGTGCAGATTCTCTACGGTGAAAACGCCGAACGGCAACACCTCCCAGTAGCAAATCGTTTTCTCCACGGCTGCGGTGAACCTGTAAATCTTCAACATCAGCCGCTCCAGCAAGTCCACGACGGAATCGTGGCTCTTCTTTACGGCTTCTTGCAGAATAACTGGCACTGAAAACACATTAACATATAGTTTCTCTGATTCTCGAAGTGAAACAAGGACTCACGATCGTCGATGCCTTCTCCGCCCCGCTGGCAATCCCTGTTGAACAAACGTATCCCGGCGACTATGCACATCAGCTCCATCAATTGCTCCTCCTTCTCGCGTTTCGACATTTTCACGTACGCTTCTAGCTCGGACGGCTGGAAGACACTCTGAAGCGCTACCGAGACCTCTCTAAATAGAACAAGGAGCATTGTTATTTCAGCATGCGCGATTCAGCACTCAACTTCGTACCGGAGCACCGAGGGCACCGTAGGATTGCCTAGACCGCTGAGAACCGTGATGACCACCAACATCTTCTGGTACAACCTTTCGGAGTCTTGTTTATTGGTCAGCCTCTCCGTCTCACAGATTTCCGCCACCATTGGACCGGTTTTCTGGTGTAGACGCAATCTGTGGCGTCTGACTGTTTCATCTGTAGAAAGATTCTGTAAATGGTTGCAGTGAAGATGTCCATGGAACTTTGAAGTACTTCTTTACCTCTGTCTCGATAATGTTTCGCGTAGTACAATTGACTTTTCAGTATCGTCAAACTTGTGCTCTCTTGATCCGATATTTTCTTCACGATCGCTTCGACGATCCGCTCATTGTGCTCTTCGTCATCAGCTTTGATTTCGTGTTCAGGATTCAGTTGAAATAGGGTAACCTGCGCAGGATGTTAATGATTGTTTAAATTAAATCAAAATTCTATGTTCATACGCAAAGTACTCGCCAGAAACGAAGCTAAATCCCTGGTAGCATGGACATCTCGCGCCCTGCACTCTACCACTACTCTCTTGATCACTTCTTTTCGCGAATTCTCCATCTTGAACCCTCAACAGCAATTGCTGGAACGTGTTTCACTGAACCGGCTACGTTTCGTTTTCCTCGGCTGTTTGATCGATACCTGGGGAGCTCCTATCTGCGTAATTTACGTAAACACTGTATCGTTAATAATTCATTAAAAACACAACAAACTTTAATACCCATTCTATATCTACGTTTACTCCAAGTGTCAACGATTGATACTAGAAACGTAATACTAAATTTACATTTAAAATCAATTAACAACACTGAAATGCCTAAAATTCAATTGAAAATGTTCGTCACGAGTCTAACGCTATATTATAGGTCAAGGGGTTAAAGAAGACATTAAAATGTCAATATCCTTTCTACGCATATTTCATTCCTTCACCTTTAACTTCTCACGTCAAATCATATTCAAAAAACTCCAAACAAAAAGCTCGCTGCTCACTTAATGACTCATATCTCCTTCGTATCATCGAATGCAAAAACCAGCACTGAAAATGAACGGGTTTCATTAACACCGTTCCTCCAATAATATTTTCAACAGCCCGTAACAGTCGCTTATCCTTGAAGATCGAAAGGAGAAGAATTCAACGTGCGCGACGAACATTCGTGCAGAAGAGAAATGCATAATCGAAAGAGACAAAGAAGAGTCGGCGAATTCACGACTCAAACGGGATTCGTTTTCGCGCGGTAGGAGACCGGCGGTGGTCGGGCATGGTCGGCCACGCTCGGCGGCTCGATACGTCGCGTGGTGGGGAGGGAGGCACGGTCAGAGGTGTCGCGTCAGTCTGCACCGGCGGAGCAATCGGGTTGGATGGTCAGTACGGTGAGGGTGCGCTTCACGAAAGCGGGTAGCGAGGACGATCTCCGTGCAACGAGAAAGAAAGAAAGCGAGAACGGTTGTCATGACGTTCGCGTGAGCCTCGTGTCGTACACGCTGTGCGAGTCGCCGTCCGAGAAACATGTCGAGTGATATCGTCCGGCGCTCGGGTCCGCGATTCACCCTCGGCGGTGTAACGGTGCTGTGGAAATTGGTGCTGGTTCTGGTGGTGGTCGTGATCCTGTCCGGTGTCTACGCGGAGAGCCAGGGTGAGTCGACTGATTTCTCTTTACCTTTCGCCTAATATCATCCGAGACCTTGGCTACCGAACGTACGTTCAGCTGTGCATCGGTTAGACCTTGGGCTAGCCACTTGTCAAAGTGACACCACGGTTATAGAATGGAAAAATTCGATGAAATCATAGTACAGTGATCATGTACAGAGAGCTGGTTAAGTGTCAGCGGTACCATTTGAAAATGTTAAAGATGGAACCAACTTGGCTCGTGACAGAGTCATCATCTAGCTCGAGTCCTTTGTTTGGACCGTTTGGTCACGCTTGCAAAACGTTTTGTCTCGCAACCACGTTTCTCGCGCGATCCACGCGGTTGATGATTAATTTTCATTGACAATGGAAATGCAAAGTTGCGATTAGTCAGGTTCATCTGGACACTGCTGGTTACTCGGGGTATGACCGATCCTCTGTGCAGCGACGCGTGACCAAACGTACGCCGCCGCTGCACCGTCAGTGTATTGTTTTTGTTGATCGCCTCGAGACAAGAGAAATCGAAGCTCGTCCGACGGTCGTTGTTCCGTTCGCGGAACCGAACGAAACGCGCCCGATGTTCGTTTAAATGAGATTGATAGGGGATGCAGCTGGGGTAGCTGCGATGGACGTGTGTAGGAACGCGCATCGCTGGTCGCGCGTGACAGCCTCTCTGTTGGCCAAACAATGCGAGGTCCGCCCGCTAACCTGTTATAACTGGCAGGCTTTTCTTTAATGAAAGATTCTGCGAGCGTAGGCGTGGAAATACTGTGCAATGAAAATGTCGCGAAAATGCTATGCTTTCGGGGACAGGAAATTAGGAAGTTTTGTTGGAATAATTTGTTGAGTTTTGTTACTTTGAGTATAGTCAAATGTTAACCCTAGGGGTTAATGCATCCCCTAACTAGAGACCCGAACAGAACAATAGTGAAGCTGGTTTCATTACTTTTGTAAAAATGTTGTTAACCCTAGGAGTCCTATAGCAACCTTATATAGCTGAGGATTATCACTGCATCCCCTAACTAAAGACCCCAACAGAACAATAGTGAAGCTAGTTTGATTATTTTTATAAAAATGTTGTTAACTCTAGGAGTCTATAAGTATATAACAACCCCATATAGCTGATGATTACCACTGCATCCCCTAACTAGAGACCTGAACAGAACAATAGTGAAGCTGGTTTCATTATTTTTGTAAAAATGTTAACCCTAGGAGTCCATAAGTCTATAGCAACCTTATATAGTTGAGGATTACCACTGCATCCCTTAACCAAACACCTTAACAGAAGGATATTGAAGATAGTTTGATTATTTATATTATAAAATCGTTGTTGTATCACCGTTATCGTTAGTTTTATTAATAGAGGTGAATTGATTCACTGAAACTGGTAACCAATACGGAACAAAGAGGCGCAGATTTATCTTCCCCGTGTTTCGGTAGCGTGACGGGTTAGGGGATGATCGCCGGATCAATGAAGATTTACGAGCGAAGCATACGAGCGAATACCTAATACGCGTCAATACCCGATAGTTTCGGGGATTCATGGGGAGTCAGTCTAATCGTTTATCCGGGAACACGTTGCGCGTAATGAGAATAAGATAGCTTTATGCGCATAATAGAACTCGTGTATCTCCGTTTCGGTGGCCATTTAACTTGCCGCACGCTGGAGATCTCCCGTGGGCTGCAGCTAGCCACGAACCAGCGTTGCATTTAAACCTTGGTTTACCGCTTCTTTCATGCATACTTTGAATGATCCTTTCATCGTGCACAATATGATAATAACAGTAACACTATCCCGTATTTTCTCCAATAATAGTCATTCGTTTATGTTTATAAACTATCGTTCAAGGCACCGAGCATACCTAAACTGTTCGGAGCGTCATTGTTGCGTGCAGCCCTCTAGATTCTGTTCACTCGGTTTCTGAATAATGTAGATACGCTTCATTTCAGTGAAAGTTCAGAAGTAAAAGGCTAGAGTAGGCTCAGAGATTGTCTAGGAATCGAGCAGGATAAAAGAGGCAATAAAAGTTCGAGTAATGCTCGAAATTCTTGAGTGGATGCAAGTTATACGTACAGACTTGACGGAAGCGTCTAGCTTTTCGTTCGGCATGAATGAAAAAGGGAGAGCGGTGACTCATCCGAGACACACGTGTGTGCAGTTCAGTCTTGCGTAAATCCTTAACAGCATCGAGAGATAATGCCACTTTGTTGACATTTCATTCGGCGCAGACAGTGAATTTTTTATCAACCTTTCAACTCTATATAAAGAGACCATCGATCATCCGATGATCAGAGCCGAGCTACGTCGGGCGCGGTCGCCAGCTTAGCTTATCACGCACGTATCACTGGCATCGTTTCTCGTTTTCGTTCCATTATGAAAATACGAAGAAACGTTTCTGCGTTTCGTTTCACGGACGACGGAGCAACACGCGAGTACAGTTTCAGCTAAAAATGGCGAAAGGGGAGTGGTAGGCGGGATAGGCGAAGAAAAAAATGCCGCAACAACGGCTTAATTATTCACGGAGGCGCGCGATCTCGCGGGCCGCGTTCGTTATTTTCTCGTCCTTCTCGGAACGCTCGACGGGCCGTGAAGGCACTCGTCGGAGAGTCCTTGAGAACCCGCGTAGCCTCGCGACTCGTCCGCTGTTACAGATTTCGCGGTTCTCCGGGACCAAAGGAGCAAACTTAGCTACCGTCTATGGTCTGACCAACGAGACGAGGCAGCGAACGTAATGAAAAATGTGCGACAACTACACTCAGCCGGGACTGGGACACAGTCGTATGCGTTGGCCAATCCTAGTACTCGGCTCGTGAATGTTCTGTTTATTTATGTTTTGTTCTGCCTCGTCTCATTAGGCAGACTGTAGATCGTTTGCGCACGTTTTCCACGTTTTTCCTTCCACTCCGCGTGTCGCAATCGCTCCCACCATAGACAGTGTGATTTTATGGGTGTCCTTGTGCCTCTTTCGCAGCTCGCGTTCCTCTTTTCGCGATTTCCCGCGTGTCTATGCTATTTCTCGCCCTGCAAAGTCGAAGCATCGCGACTGGCATACTCGTTTCACTGGCTTCGGTTTGAGATGCAGACCAAAAGGAAGGAGAGAAGGAAGGTCGTAGACAGTGGATCGTCTGGGACATCAGCGGCCAGTGATTCATTGGGATGACTCCAGTTCCAGCGTACACTCGAAGTTAACTGATCGCCCGTAATCGATGATTAATCCATCCTCCTCGAAGGCGTCGACGTGGTCGAGTGGCTCGTCGAGTTGACCCGAGGTGTGTGTACCCACTCGAAGTAGCTCGATGCGTCGACGAAGGAGGCTCGTCTACGTTCTTTGCCTGTCCTGCTAACATTTTCATCCTGCTGATCAGTTGAACGCTCATCGAAACTCCTATGCAGTCGGAACAGTTTCCCTAATAAAGCAGAAGCTAAAGAGTCACGATTCATCGTAACGACTGCTCTGCTATTTTTCTTCGAATTTGACGACAAGACTGTAAAATGAAATGAGTCAAGACACCGGTGTCTTTGACTCCTAATAAACGCAGCCGCAACGATGACGAAGCGATGACAGGACTTTCCCATTGGACATGAAAGTTTCAACTGATAATATCACTTCAGCTCGCGGAACCATCAAATCTGCTGCTAGCATTTTTCCCGCTGGTCGATCAGTTTACTACGAGATCCAATCGCTTAGGGGAAGTTTGCCAGTTTCGAACCGGTCCGAGGAGGCGGGCACTGCTCTTATCGGCGAAGAGGTTTCGCGGGAAAGCACTGACACTCCGATAATCCTTGTCGCAACCGCGGGTTCGAAACTCGAGGCTCTTTCTCTGTTGCGTAAACGCGATTATAAACGCTTCCTTTAGGCGACAGGCTTACTCACCGCTTACTTGCCGAGCGGACGATCGTTTCGAGTCCGTGCAATAGCCGACTCGATGACGTCGCGACTTCCGTTCTCCTGATTGCCCGGCCGCTTTTCACCTTCGGAACAAGCCTTGGCGATTTGCGAGCGAGCAAATAGTCACTTCGAGGATGGACAGCTGGATCAGTCCTCTTTTCGATCGGTAGTCGGTAGATTCTGAGTGAACGCAGATGCTCGGTGGATCTTTAATACGTTAAGCTCTTCTCTTACAATACCAGACTCGTGAAAATTTCGAATGGAGGGCAACAAATATGACTGTCGTTGCATTGACTTCAGTTAAAGTCAAGTATTATTCTTCTGTTATTGTAATTGTTAATGATAGAATTCTTCCACTTTTCTACTAAATTATTCATGATAAAGTAGTTTCATACTAGCTACCTTTTTCTGGCGAAGATAGAAACAGTCACTAGATAACCATTAGGTATCGCAGTTCTATTCACTATCATCTGATTATCTCGCTAATCATTTTTCTTCAACGTCGACCGTCTCGCTTAATAGTTCTTAAAACCTTAAACACTCGCTTTCAACAGCATTCGTCGCAATTGCACAGAGATCGATGCCTATCAATTACGCGTTAACAACACGGATTGAAGCGTAACCGTTAATTCTATTACAAGTTTGTTTCTGTAATCGTTAACAGCGGCTCGCTGTAATTGCCTCGATTGCAATCGCAGTTAATGATCAACGATTACGCAAAGTACCCCGTAATCGAATAAACTATTACATTCTAATTTTCATCTCTAGCGCGTTATCATATTAAATTCCGTTCGATTCTGGCCGTCAACCGATACCCAATGCGAAACGATATCCGCCGGACTTTGTCGACTCCGAACGCGTTGTTAATTACGTGTCCGTTATCCCGACGAGGTCAGCGTTCGCTGGGCAGAGATATCATAACCGTTTCCACGGTTCCCCTGAACGGTTCCCGTTCTCGGTTTCGAGAGCACGAGCGTTGCGGTTTCGCCTCGAACATCTTTCACCTGACATCCCCGTCATCGTCACGCGACCGTGATAGCGCGACGATAATCGATGAGCACAGGGAACCGCGAAGAAACTGGAAAGACAGTGATAAACTGGCGACGATCTGCTCATC